TAATTTGAAAAAAGTCTTCTGTTTTTACAAAACCTATTTGAAGATATGCTTTACCCTCCCACAAATTATTATCCAAGTATTAAGGTAAGAAACATAACATTTGCTGGTAGTAAATTTCTGGGTCTGGATAAGTGTAGAACAGGATAAATACTGCTTAATATGAAAAGGCACTGGTGCTTTAAGACAATTCTCTTAGATGGAAAACACTAGATATCCTGAAAGCAGAATGAATTTTGAACTGATTCAAGTGTTGGCTTTTCTTTGATACATTTAAAAATACATTTTTGAATTGAGAAAGCTTCCTGGAGAGGTGGCGAAACGTCTTCAAATCTTGGAAACCAAGTCCAGTGGATATTTTTTGAATTTTTATGGAATGACTATGACCTGGATGACTGAGAATCTTCATCGGCATTTAAAATTAAAGCCTTTTATTTTTAATAAGTAATTTATAGTGGAGAAATGAGTTGATTTTGTGTTCCACTCAATATAATTGGGTAATTAAGTTGTTGGTTAAGATGGCATCTTGACTAAAGTTAAAATAATGTATATAACAAACCTAGATGTAGAAGATGAAATCCTCACATTTAGTAATTGGGAGACTGAAACTGCAATCATAACAAAAAGGCTCAATCTATTAAGACATGACATATTGATATAAAACTTTAAACATGACACAATTAGCTTAAGATCACACCTAGAAGTTGTAAAATTTCTTTTTTAAAGATAGAAAATAAATTTTTTATGAATTTTGAATATTTTTGTGTTTTATATATACTAAAACCCTATCCGTATTTTTTTAAACAGTTTGAACTCTTCTATTTAAGTTTTGAATGTTTAGAGTTTACTGACTCTAAAATCGCATTATAAACAAATATGAGTCATATTAGTCAGATTTAACACAGTCCTTTAAGCCACATTTGTAGTTGAGTATCAGAAATGGCCTGAAAATTAAATGTGCCTGTGTCTGCTGCCGCGCTGATGTTTCTCTAGGTGCAGCGTTGGGTATTTCAGTGGACGCTGTCTCATACCTGGTGGCTGACAGGCCAGGCTTGGGCCTTCTGGCTCTGTGGGGTCCCCACTGGGGGGTGGTTCTTCCCGGACCTCAGATCCCGTGGCTCTCCTTCGGATCCACCTTGGGCGTGACCAGCCGTGGAGCCCATAGGCCCACTGCCGTGTGTGACCTCTGCACAGGACAGGGTCAGGCCCCTCAGGGACCGAGCCAGCCCTACAGTAGATCTGTCCTCCTTGTGTCCCAGTGATCTGTGGTGCCTCTGGATATCTGAGGGTTGCTTTTTTTTGTCCATGCTCCTATGGTGCAAGTCTGGGGCCGCCCAAACCTGCTATTGAGCATATTTCCCTTATGAAGAAGCTTTGTAAATCCTTTATACATGCATATGTATCACGGGAGTTTGGTTCCAGGTGTTCATGAAATGAACAAATGCTAAATATTATTAAATATTAAGCTACAGATATATACCACCCTGAATAATATTGTGTAGTCACCATATTTTGACTCCAACATGGATGTAAGGGAGCTTGCTGCTCTTGAAGCTAATTTCATGTTTACTTTGGCAAGTAGAAGTATCGAGCGGAACCTTATGGCAGTATTCAAAATGGTCTGCTGGTGAAAGCAAGGTTGTTAGGCAATCATCTAGCTCTGGGATATCTATTGCCAGAGTCATATTGGCAAAACAGGACTCAAAAAAAAGAAAATTAAATGTGCAAAGAACTGTCTGAAATACTTTGGGGGAGTTAATAAAAACTTTGCTTGATTAAAAAGCCAAATTCCCTTCTTCTGTGCCCTTTAAACAAAACCAAGGTCTTAACGTAGCTTGTTTAACTGTAAATGCTACCTGGTACAGCTGTAGTCGGACAATTAGACATGCTACCTTCCTGTTATTGCAAAGAGGTCTCTTTGATCCTTTTAGTAAATGTTCTTTGTCAGGAGGACTGAGTCATGGCTGGGTGTTCAAACGGTCAGGCTATGAGCTGACTGAAGCTTAAGGTCTTACAGTAACATATCCAGCGCCTTTCACAATTTGTAGGCATCCCTAGTTAAGTTAAGGAAAACTCTTAAGATAAAATTCTTTTTTCATCCCGTTGTATATTCTAAAACTAAAGGGAGAAAATATGCTGCAGTTTGCAAACAAGCAGACCCTCACCATACACCTTATGATACACCAAAAGACTTAGATAAACTTTGGTCCTTATAAGAATTTGTTCCATGTTCAGTTATCTTAAAATGTAGAATCGTTGTTCTGACTGTAGATACGGAACATGTTTAAGCAGCTATTTTTAGCGGCAATTTTCTTTTACAACTGAATACACATCATCAAACTAAACTGCACCATTAAGACAAGGTCCAATAAGAGTAAACTCCCCCTTATGCCACCTTTTTGCTTGAGGTCTAGTTGTTGAGCTTCTTCTTCTTACATTAATTGTAAAAGACTAAAGAGAAATAACATGAAAGAGTATCTTGTTTTCCCTGGAAATAATGAGATCCAAAAAAGTCTTGCCAGTCATTTGATGTGGAGTTATTAACTATCATGATATGTCCTTAAGAACCTTTGATCTGTTTAGATTGATAATGAAACGTCAGAATAAAGGTCATGTCATTTTGAACTACAAAGCTAACAAATATAGACAAAAAACTTCCTTTCCAAAGTTCTCTATTTGCTTTTTTTCTGTGTATACCTCTAAAAAAACTCATCTTCATCCCTACAAATAATTTTTTTTTCTGTATATATTTTCTGTATATATTACATAGTGACCATTAAATCTCTCACGTCCCTGTCAGGTTTAAGATTAAAATTAAAGTATTGTATCCTTATCTTAATGTAATGCTTGTTTTACATTGTTTTGATTTCTTTAAAGCAATGATAATCTAATTTCCTATCAGGAACAGTAAACCACAGTTATATCGATATCAATATAAAGCCCTGTTCTCCATTTTTAAGTTCAATTTAAAAGTATGCTTTTTGGTTGATGGTCAATTTTTATCAAAACCCACATTTTGCAAAGGGAATATTCTAAAGATCAAATATCCTCATTTTCAAAATTATT